GCTAAATGTCCGTGGTGGGCCCCTCTCTACCTTGCTAAACTTCAGAAATAGACTCTCAAGAGGGTATCGAAGGGGTCACATAGTGTAGTGTTCGAGAACACCTTGTAGGATCAGGGATAAGACCTGCTCCAATCCTCTGCCTAGGCAGACCGATACCTATGGGGAGACCCCCCATAGTTTGATGTAGCCATGGAGTGCCGAGAGTACCCAAGGAATCGGTAGGTGTAACAACGATGCGCACCGGCAAGATTGGAAAGTCACACAAGGCGACAAGAAGGCGGACACTAAGGAAGGCAGATCCAATTTGTGATGATAATTAGATGTTGAATCGTAAATCTGTATATTGATCAAAAGAGTCCCACTCAATGTGTTGTCAGAAGTCTAATTTTGCCATATCAGCAAAAAAAGCCTTTTGCAGAATTCTTGCTCAATCTGTTTCAATTATTTCCTTTTCACAAAAGTAATCTATAAAAGTATGTTCTTTCTCGTCCAAGTGCGATTCCGGTTTTATACTTGTAAGTGTCCATAATATTGACCTACTATTTTGCAGGCAAGAGAAAAGCAGATCCAGCGGATACGAAATTTATTTCATCGTCAGTTGTCTATTCCCCTTGCTGACTTACAATCAACTCTTTTTGCTTATAAGGCCTGGGAAGCTGATAATGGGAGTTCAAATGATATTAGTAGTAGTGATTTGGATGGTCTTCCATCTCATGTTGTTTCTGTGTATCAAAAGGCAGTAGAAATGCTGAATGCTCGTGCCAATTTTGAAGAAAGAATTTCTAAGAAGGATAATGATTCAGAAAAGCTTCAAGAATTCACGGTATTTCTTTCTTACATCTACCATTTTTCTTGTTGGTAACCTCTTAAGATACAAATAGTAAAATTCATGAAATACTGGAAGGGATAGGAGTGCTTGGGAAAACAACAATCTAGATTTTGGTTGAGTCGGTTAAGACGATACATGTGGAACTCCCAAATAGACTTACTGTGCTGAGGATGGATAATTGTAGAGCTGAACATTTGATAGAATGAGCTGAAAGTTTGGGGTTCTTTTCTACTAACTGGTACAGTTACGTTACATAGAATGTATATTTATTATCTGCAGCATTCTGTGTAACCTGCGGTAGTTAGTCATATTATTTTGGAGGACTAATAGTTGGTATGTAATATATATGCCGTCTTAACAGGATCAAACTAACATCTTGGAATTGCATTGTTTTGATTTTGTAGTTATGCTTATATTCTGTCAACTGCTGCTCTATTAGTAGCCCTACACAGTCTTTTCCTCTGTAAATTGATCCTGTTAATATGTTTCTATTGTCTGTGCATAACATGTAGTTACAGTTTTTTAAAAGGTGGTTGAGATTTATTCTCTATGCATCATTTATTAGTATATATAAAAGTAGAACAAGGAAAAGAAAGAGTTGAAATAGGAAGAGCATGTCAATTTGTTTTATGAAGTTAGAAGAGCTCTCTTTCATTCACGTTGAGACAGTAACTTCATTCTTAGACTTTTTAATCATTGCGATTTCCTTATTAATCTTTCTTCTCTTAGTGATAAAGTATGTTAAATTTGGAAATTATGTGACCACCATTATTATTCTTGTTTTTCTGTCTTTTGTAGTTAGCCATATTTGATTCAGTTCTTCAATTTTATTTTTTGCTTTACTTTTTCCTGGAATGTTCTCTTTGGTTGCTGGAATGAACTAGTTTAGCTCACACCTTGTTGGACATTTCCTAGCTCATTTCATGGCCAATTCTTTTATTTACGTCTGGTTTAATGATATCAGATACCTGATTTATTTCTATAAATTGACTTCAAATATTTAAGTACCTCTAAAAAATTAGGTATATTGGTTTGATGGTCATGCAGGTCTACTTGAAATTCGAGCACTCGTCTGGAGATCCAGCCCGCATACAGATCTTGTATGAACGTGCTATAGCTGATTTTCCTATTTCTAGTGATCTATGGGTTGAGTACACCCAGTACCTGGATAAAACATTCAAGGTTTTCAGATCATTACACACTTTGTGACATTTTGAACTTCACTGTCCTTAAATTACTTTAAGAACATGCATTTGCTGATTCATTACAGACTGCCAAGATTGTGAGGGACGCTTATTGCAGGGCCACAAGAAACTGTCCATGGGTAGGAGATTTGTGGGTTCGTTATTTACTCTCGTTGGAACGGGGTCAAGCTTCTCAGGAAGAGTTATCAACTGTATGCTTATGTTGACCTTTTCTTAATATGTCTTGCTGACTGATCTTTGTGTGGCTCGCCTTCACTCATTTTGATATAAAACATTAATCATTGCATTTTCGTGACAGTGATATTTAGTTTAGATCCCTTCACTGTCAGTGGGGCATTGGGTTGTTACTTGTTCTTTGTCGACATATTTCTAAACTTTCTATCACCTTTTTCTCAAAGAACTTAGTGTCAATCTTTTAGGAGCTTTTGGAAACATATGGAGACCCTTTTTCAAGTATGTCATAGAGTTGCATAAATTTGAAACATAGCTTCACCCAGATATTAAGGGGATTTGACCTGTGTCATTTGGAGTGAGATGGATTCTGTACTTGGATTTGGAGTAAGATGAGGATGGAGAGGAGAAGGTGCAGGTGGTACGAGAGTAACGTCCAGAAATAATTAGTTTAAGGGGGATGGAATTAGGTGATTTTTTCGAGAGAAATGGAATGTGAAAATTGGATTCGTACTTGGATAAATTTGTAACTTGATGTAAGATACTTTCAATAAATGGGTTTTGATGGTAAAATCAAGGATGCTATGAAATCAGTTAATTATTATTTACTTGTTGAAGTGATGAAACAAAAACATGAAATGGATAAGTTTTTATACTATGAGAAAGAATATTGCACGAAAACTTGACAAAGAAGGTTATTGTAATGGAGAAATAGTCCTGTAATTATCAGATATGACTCCTGACTGGATGGGTGATGTTGAGTTTGTGAACAGTGTAATTTGTGAGGAAATCGGTAATTATGTTTCTGTTCTTTTATAATATTGGGTGAAAATTGAATAGATGTGATTGGCTAGGATCAACATAAGTGAGTGCATTTGATATTTTCTGAAATTTTTCACTGCCATATAATGCGTTGGAGGTAAAAGATTTTGCAAACAAACGGAAATTAAAAATTGTGGTATCTATTTGCAGCCTAGTGGCATAAGTTGGTGGCAGATATATTTCATGATCCATATATGCAAACTATACAAATTGTACTTTTCTATTTTTGAGAAACCTGAATATTCTGTCTACACTAGTTTTATCCTATATAACACAGCTATCACTGGCCTCCAAAATATCCCCATTCTTAAGAACGTGTAACTTTACATGAAACACCTTCATTTAGGTGTAGATATCAAGCAATATGGGTCTCCTCATGTTTCCATATTAATAAATTTCTGAATAATATTTACTTAGATTGCTATTGCTCATAAGGAATATGATACTATAAGCCATCAATTGGATGAGTTCCTCTGGTTCTTCTTGACTGTGGCTTCCGCCCTTGAGATGTGGCATTACTTGGTGCACGTTATTTATAACTTTTCCCTTTTTCTTTCGAACAATAAATGTCCCCAAATAGCTATATTGATACTAATGCATGTCCTGCAGATTACTAAAAGTATGCATCTATCACACCTTAACTCTAGCAGGCTACTTGATATCTTCTATTTAACTATTCTAGCAGGACTATTTACTGGGGGCATGTTAGGATTCACATAATTTCTTTGTTTTATGACTTAGTGAACTTTTGTGCTCTGTTGTAACTGAGTATTGTGTGTTGTTGCATGTGTGCTAAATGGCAAGCATGATATTTATACTTGTTGGCCGGATTTGATAATTTGATTTCGCAATTGTAGCTAACCATGGAATTTATGCATCTTTTCTTTATTGATGCTTATTCTCTTTGCTTTTCTCATCGTAGTTCTCATTTCTCATTATTTCAGGTATTCGAAAAATCACTGCAGTGCACTTTTTCAAGCTTTGACGAGGTACTAGCCTACTAGGATTTATGTTCATATGAATAATAACCGTACTTGACCAGTAATCCGGTTGTCAGATCTCTTACTTGACCTGCATTTTCTGTTACAGTACTTGAATATCTTTCTTACAAGAGTAGATGGGCTAAGGAGGATGATATGTGCGTCTAAGGAAGCGGAGGAAAGCAAGGATTATGTAGTTATAAGGGATATCTTTCAGGTTCACAAGATCTGGACTTGCCAAGTGTTATTACCTGCATTTTTCTTATGTCTTATGTTTTTGAATTATTCTCTGTTTAACTCCGGTTCTTTTGTGAAAGCAAATTGTGCTGTTAATTGTTTTGTCAAACTTTGTTGTTTTCTGTTTCATTGTTTGTTAGTGCTTCAGCTGGTTGATGCAACAATTTTCAAAAGTTGGTTTTCCGAGATCCTTTAATTGCATCGAGACGATTCTCCCTCTCATACAGTTTCAGCTTTTGTAAATTCTCTTTGTTGTGTCTTATACTTGCAAAAACTATTCGAACCTTCGAAACATTTTTTTTTTTTCCATCATTGGTTCACTTTATTATTAATTTAAAACTGTCTTGGCATGCATGTTTAAATAAAATATTTCTCTTTTTTTTGGTGAAAAAATTTATGGGGTGTAGAATGAGGAAATGTTTGGTTTAGTTTCATTTATTTCTTAAGCAAAAAATTAATTTGAAATAAAGCAAAAAATTATTTTGATCACAAAGTATGATGAAAATATGATACATGGATTGTAT